ATACAACCTAAATATCAAGAAGGGAATGCATAAAGTGATATAATCATGTAATAGGAATGAACCAGACCTAACTTATCAACATAGATGACTCTCCTACAATGTTGGCCAAAATAGCTAGCAGCAACAAAAGTATACATATTATGCTGTTTATATAAAATTTTAAAACAAGCAGAACAATGCTATTTATTGCTTAAGGATATTTGCATAAATATTAAAATATAAGGAAATGCATGGCATGATAAATGCGCAGTTCGGGATTAGCTAGTTACCCCAGAGAGCTGAAGCTGGGGAGAGCAGGAGGGGGGATATGTCAATGTTGCCAATATTTTCTTCTTTAAGCTCCTTGGTGGATACATAAATGCGTGTTGGCTATACATTATACTTTGTTATATATTAAATATAGAAATTTAAAAAATCAAAAATTAAAGCTGTGAGAGAGTCGTCCCAGATGAGACTGGCAAAGTGTGCAAAGGGCAGATGATGGGATGCCCTGTAGGCCATTTTAAAGTTTGGCTTTCATCTAAGGACAAAGGGGATCCGTGGAAAGATTTCAGGAAGCGTGGGAATGATCCTGTTAACATTCAGTTAACATTCAGAACATTGCCTCCTGCTATCGAGTAGAGATTGGATTTGTGGAGAGTGGTGGAGCGAGGAGAAATTTGCTGCAGCCCAAACTGTAGAGCACTTTCTCCTTAAAGTGCTATCTTCTCCTGCTTCCAGAATGTTCTTCCTTCCTCGTCCTCTCCTTCTGGCCATGCCTCTTCTTCATGCCTATCTCAAATTCCTCATCTTCCTCTGGCCCCTTTGTCCTGCTGTTTTCCAGAGTGTTTCTTTCTTTCTTTCTTTTTTTTTTTTTTTACCCTCTTTTTGTTTTTTTTACATATAAGTCTTAGTATCATTTGTGTTCCAACTTCAGTTACCATCTCTATGCTTTTGGTTCTCAAAATTTATTTCTGCAACCCAGTTCTTTTTCCCAGCTCTAAACTGCTTACTGGATATTTTTCCTTGACCATCTCACAACAACAAAAAGATGTGCCTTTCCCTGCTGCCTTTGGGAACTTGATTAACCATATTGTGATCTATCCAGTTGTCTGATCTAGAAAACCGGGTATTATTCTAGACTCTGCTGTCTGTCCACTTTCCTCTTTAACGGGTTTTCATGTTAGGCATTAAGGGTAAGGTTTTGGTGCTGTGTGCTATGACATATTTAGGGACCCAGGAATGCTCAGTTACTGATGTACTAGTCACTTTACTCCCTCCTATTCAGAAGATTTCAGTGATCTCACCACCAGCAAGATAAGAAGCCAGCTTTAGAGCACTATACCCAAGGCCCTTCTTGATCTGGCTTGTGCGGATCTTCCTATCCTCATTTGCTGCCATTTTCCTCTCTCACCTTCTTTGCAGCTACACCAACCCACTTGAAATCCCTGAATGTGCCATATTGTTTTAGGGCTCTATGCCTTAGTGTATGCTGTTCCTTCTGCTTAGAATGCCTTTCCTTGCTGTATTTGTCTGGTGAACTCTTGAAGTTTTGTAAGCCAGCCCATTATAGCATTTGCCTTGTCCTAATTCCTAGTTTACTTGCCTCTTTAACCCCAGTAGACACTGAACCTCTGAGGCACAGAGAGCGACTATTCAGGTTTTTATTTATTTTTTTTTAATTAGAGAGAGAGAGTGAGCATGAGAGAGCGCATGTGGGAACAGTGGGAGGAGCAGAGGGAGAGGGAAAGAATCTTAAGCAGGCTCCATGCCCACTGTGGAGCCGGATGTGGGGCTCAATCCCATGACCCTGAGATCATGACCTGAGCCAAAATCAAGTTGGACACTTAAATGACTGAGCCACCCAGGTGCCCCTCAGTTTTTATCTTCTTGTCCTGACACATGGCAAAGGCTCTACAAGTGTGTTTAGTTAGGGTTGACTCACCCAGCAAACTTCCCCTTTCTCTTTGGGTCCCTGGGCTAGGATTGTTGGAGGTTAGTTGCAAATTACTAAAATGAACATTCCAGAGGAAAAAAAATACATTGTAAACTCTTAGAACAGATATTCTTTGTCTTCCGCAGTTTTGGTATTTTCTACTTCACTTAGAGCAACTCTGGAAGGATTTATATAAAGAACATTTTAAACAAAAGTGGTGGTGTTCTCAGCCCTGATCCCTGATCCTTCCAGGAACTGTCTTTATAATCTCTTTTCAGTTTCTTTTTTGTCAGTCTTCAAGTTTTCCCTCATACTGCCTTCTTTTTTTTTTTTAAATGTTTTTAATTTATTTATTCATGAGAGTCAGAGAGAGAGAGGCAGAGACAGAGGGAGAAGCAGGCTCCCCGCTGAGCAGGGAGCCCGATGCGGGACTCGATCCCAGGACCCTGGGATCATGACCTGAGCCGAAGGCAGACGCTTAACCATCTGAGCCACCCAGGCGCCCGTTCTGATACTGCCTTCTGCTCATCTCCCAGATATGTTTAAACTTCCTTGATCCTTTAACAAGATGATAATAATAATAAATAATAATAAACCTGTCTTCAACACTGCTGCTTGTTCTTCACACTCTTTCCTTATCTCTGTTCTCCTTTTCATCATTTTTAAAAAAGACAGCAATTTATGCTTGGTGCATTTGCTGGCTCATAGTCTACTCACCCCACCCACTGGAATCCGACTTTAGGCATTCCCATTAGCCGAAAGCTTTCTTTCAAAGGTATGAGAGACTTCCAGCTTCCCAGTCCAACTATGTCTCTTTAGGCATAATGCCACCCCTTCTCTCTGTAGTTTTTGACACTATCATATTGATGATCTCTTCCTTTTAAAAAAGTTTTTCCACTCTTAGCTTCTGTATCACGGCACTCCCATAATTTCTAGTCTTTCTCTGACTCTTGCACTTCACTGGGAAACTAGGTGAGTGTCTTATGTTTGGAGTTACCATATATTTGGGCATATATGATCATTTCTTTATCTGTTTACATTGATTCAACAAATACTTACTGAGTGACAGCAAAGTGCAAGGCCCTGGATGTGTAGTGGAGAGAAAACAGATGGGGTCTAACTTTCTGAAGTCCAGAGTTTCAACTTGGTTATCTATTACTGGGTAACAAATTACCGCAAACTTAGTGACTTAAAATAAGGCTCAGTTGTTGTAGAACAGGCATCTCCCTACCCTCTGCTTCGGGGCCTCTCACAAGGCTGTAGTTGTGGTGTCTGCCAGGGCTGGGGACCCAGCAGCAGCCTCTAGTGGGCAGGGATCTGCTTCCAGGCTCACAGTGATGTTCGCAATATTCATTTCCTTGCTGACCGGTGGGCAGATGTTCTCAGTTCCTTGCTGGGGTTTTGGCAAGAGGCACCTTCAGTTCCTTTCCATGTGGGTCTCTCTGTACAAGCTTGTTTCGTGGGAGCCAGCAGGGGAGAGAGGAGAGTTGACTTGCAAGGTGGAAGTGATAACCTTAGGGAATGTATTCATGGAAATGACATCCCATTCCTTGTACTGTATTCCACTGGTTAGAAGTAAGTCACAGATCCTGCGCACACTCAAGAGGAGCTCACACGGGGCAAAAATGTCAGGAAGCAGAGACTCACCAGGGACCTTCTCAGAGTCCCCCTGTGAAACCTCTTACTGTTTTTCCTCCAGCAATATAGCTGTCTCAATTTCTGCTGCTCTCAAATTGAACTCATGACCCTCCCCTTGCCCAGACCTCTTCTCGTCCTATATTCCCTGACCTGCTCAGCAGCCTCGTATCTGTCCAGTCATCTTCTCTAGAAACCCAGAGATTGGGGCGCCTGGGTGGCTCAGTTGGTTGAGCGTCTGACTCTTGGTTTGGGCTCAGGTCATGGTCTCAGGGTCGTGGGATCGAGCGGCCGGCTCCACGGTCAGCCCAGAGTCTGCTCGAGATTCTCTCTCCCTCTCCCTCTTCTCATCCCCACCCTGTGCTCGCTTGTGCTCTCTCTCCCTCTCTCTCTCAAATAAATAAAAAAAAAATTTAAAAAAAGAAAGAAACCCAGAGATCATTTTCAACACTTCCCCCTGAGGTTTAACAGGCTGCTGGGTTCTGTACATTCTGCCCCTGTGGCATCTTCCATGGCATCCTCTGCTTTCCACTTGCTGACATGGCTTTTGTTGGTTGTTCAGGTGCCTCTTTTTTTTTAAATGCCAAAAGGCAGAATCTGGGTCTTATTCTTCTACAGTCCAAAGTGCCAGCCTCTAGAGCAGTGATTCAGAGTCTTGGCTGCACGTTGGAATCACCTAGGAGCTTGGAACATCACCGATGCCTGGAACCCACTGCTAGAGATAATGATGCAGTCGGTCCGGGTGCCGCTGAACGTTGGCGTTCACAATCTTCATGGTTCACGGGCGCCTGGGTGGCTCAGTCGGTCAGTGTCGGACTCTTGATTTCGACTCAGGTCATGATCTCAGGGTGGTGGGATGGAACCCGCATCAGGCTCTGCGCTCAGTGGGGCGTCTGCTTAAGAGTCTCTCTCTGCCCCTCCCCCCACTCATGTGCACATGCTCTTTCTCTCTCTCTCTCAAATAAATAAAAAATAAAACCTTTAAAAAGTCTCCAAGATTCAAACATGGAGGCAACCTTGAAAGCCATTGCTTCTAGTTGAAGAAATCAAGTCTCTGGGCGAGTGAAAGGTTGAGAAAATGGTAAACATTTAATGCATAGGAAGAATTTAAAACTAAAGTTAAAGTTGTGTTTAAAAAAAAACACACACACTTCAAATAGTATATGACAAAGCTTAGTAATCAAAACGATCTCTATATGGTCAGGAAAGTGGGGGATATGTCTTTTTGTGGGAATGAAGGGGAAAATCAGAAATGTGAAGGAGTAGAGTCTCTCAAAATACAAAACTTCAATTTTTGTGCATATAAAGTAAGCAATAAAATGAAACAAAGAACCACCTAGAATAATTAGAATATTTCTTTGTGTTGAGCCTCTGTGTGTGTGTGTGTGTGTGTGTGTGTGTGTGTAAGGATAACTTGCGAGTCGTTCTGATCTTCTCCTTTATTTTCCAGGCATATCTTGAAGACAGTTGCCCTGGGTCAGATGCTGTCCTTGTGTATATGTGGGACAGCCATCACCAGCCAGTACCTGGCAGAAAAATACAAAGTGACCACCCCCATGCTTCAGAGCTTTATCAACTATTGCTTGCTGTTTCTATTTTATACAGTGATGCTGACATTTCAATCAGGTAGGTCAAATGTGAGGATGACCTTTTCGACAAATTATCTTCATAAAAATGTTTGGCTTCTGGATATTAAAAAAATAAAATGTGAGGTAAAACCAAGAATGGGAAACTATTTTACATAGAAGTTATTGGAAAACTGTGACACCCCTGAATGCTATGAAAATTTATGGAGATTTATGTATAATTCTCAGAAATTGTTGATTAAAACAGGGAGCACCAAACTGTCCCAGCAGAAGTTGCCAAAAAATAAAGAAAGTGCTGGGGCGCCTGGCTGGCTCAGCATGGGACTCTTGACCTCGGGGTCATGAGTTCGAGCCCCATTTTGGGAGTAGAGATTGCTTTAAAAAAATAAAATTGAAAAACAAAAATATTAAAAAAAGTGTAAACATCATTATGAGTTAGGTTTTATTTTTTTCTCCCGTGGTTGATAAATTTAAGAGACAGTATTAAAAACCCTTAAAAAGAGCCTCACTTTCCAAAATATACATTTCCCCCCAAATGGAGAACATTAAATGGAGCACTGGTTACATGTAGATCAAGTCTGTGTCGTGAGAGAGACAAAGGCAAGGAATTGGCAAGGAATTAACATCTTTATCACTGGCTGTTTTTTTTTAAGATTTATTTATTTATTATATATAGAGAGAGAAAGCGTGTGCGTGCAAGCAGGGGGAGGGGCAGAGGGAGAGAATCTCAGGCAGACTCCCTGCTGAATGTGGAGCCCAATGCGGGGCTTGATCTCACGACCCTGAGATCACAACATGAGCTGGAACAAAGGGTCGGAGGCTTAACTGACTGAGCCACCCAGACGCCTGGGTGAAGTTGTTTTAGAATCATTATAGAAATATGATTTGTAGCTAGCTACACAGAAAATGGGAAGAGCTAGATTCTGGCTGACATTTTTGTGCTAGGCATCATTTTAATTGCTTAACTCACTTTGGTGATGTGTTACCTCACTGAATCCTCCCAGTGAAGCAGTTGGGTATTACTGTTACCCGCACTTTGCAGTTGAGGAAACTGAGGCGTGCAACACATAGGTAACGGGCCGTGAGTCATGTAGGTAGGAATTGGTGGAGACAGAGTCCGACTCAGCCAGCCTGCCCCCGAGCTCATGCTCTCAGCGCCACCCCGCATTAGGGGCTGCTAGTCATGACAGACGTCCTTCCCACAAGAGGAGACCATGACTTTTAAAAACAAATGAAATGAGATTGAACTCAGAAACGTGAGGACTATGGGTAACCCAAACTGATTGGGAGGGGGCAATACTTCCATTTTCATCGTTTTGAGCTTCATAATGAAATCAGTGGTGTTTGCAAATCCTCATGTAATATGAACCTTAATGCCCAATGGTATCTGGTGTCGGGATAAGTTACTTGTTTTTGAAAGAAGGTGGAAACCAGTTGTGGTAGAGGGGAAAACGTCTTAAGTGGAAAGTACCAAATTTGGTAAGAACTTTAGGAGTTGGAAATAGAATTGGGTACATGGTTAATAGCTCTGGATGCTCCTTTGTAAACATTAGCCTTTAGGAAGTCAGTGTGACTCATAAGTACATCAGTGAGGTCCCCCCGAGGGATGGTTGGTGGGTGCCTGCCATGCTCTGTCAGACGTTGAGGAAGACTAACTTTGTGTTTTCAGGATGTTCCTCCTAATTGGGTTTTAATGATAATTATTTGGTTATGATTCTCACTTGCAGGTTATTTTTACCATAAAGCCTTCTCATATATGTGCTAATTATGTATCTCCTGTCTACTAGATTCTCTAAAGAAGTGAATTGCAGTTAACTTGAAAAAGTAGAATTTGGGGGATAAAAGGTTTTTCTTCAGTGATGCCACCAAATCTTTTTTTCAGACTTACCACTGAGTTAATTTTGTCTTGAAAGCACATTTCTTCCAAAAGAATGACCACCATTGGATTCATAAGAAAACATTTGATTTTCATAGGATAATCTGTAGCTTGTCAGGAATGGCAGCATCCAAACCCATACCTGGTTATTATATTTCTGTTACAGTAGGAAATGAAATTTAACCACTTTTCTCCTACTTACTTTCTCTCTGGTGTATTCTTTAAACCCTTGGTCTATGCTGACATCTTAGCTTGGGTTTCATAATAGAAAAAAATCTGACACTTGCTGAGCTATTGTAGGCATTTTGGTTCTAAGTAATGGAAATTAGGAGGGACCACATTCAAAAGAGAAAGTAAACCTTTGCTTTGACTCCTTAATCTCTAAATTGATATGCCTAGCGTCATTTTCAAGTAACATGTACCAACCCAGATTTCTTTGAACCAGGGAGCGATAACCTTTTATCCATCTTGAAGAGAAAATGGTGGAAGTATGTCCTCCTTGGGTTAGCAGACGTGGAAGCTAATTACCTGATCGTCCGAGCGTACCAGTACACCACTCTAACCAGTGTCCAGGTAAGGGGGTCTCCTCTCGCCTGTGTGGATTTTTCAGCTTCCAGAGAAGAATCTGAGCCCATATGTGCTAACCAAATTTTATGGAAAAGCTGTTCACTGGCAGAAAACCTAAATACAGGTGGATGCTATCTGTTTCTTTGTGGAGCATATGTACTAATGAGTAAAATTTCCTGGAATTGGTGAAAATATATACACATTAATCAGTTCCCAAACTGCCAGTGCTGTTACAGAATAGAATAGTTGCTACCAAAATAAGCATAAATATTTAGTTGGCAATTGATGTTGTGATGTTGACAAGAGTTCTTTTTTAAGTTTGTTTAAAGATGGCATATAAAGTGAATATACTTTTGTGCTACAGAAAAGTTGGAGGTTTGCTAATAAAGTAGATATTCAAGACAAAAGGAACCTTTGGAGTCACTGGAAAGAAACTTGTAGACATCTGGGGTAGAGATTAAGCACCTTGGGTAGCCAGAGGTAAAACTGGTATCACTATTCCTCTTTTAGGGTTATTGTTGCTGGATTGAAAGAAAAATGTTCCTGCAGAACAGTACTTTTTAACCAGGTGTTGAGGATGACTGATTCAGTTGTCTTGATGTTAGCAAACTGTGGGTTATATCATGATGGTGACTCACCACTACTAACAACAAAATGTTTCATGAAGGAAGGTGAAAGTGAGAGACCTCGATGCCAGGTTTAGTCTTCACAGTTTAATAAATTTGTAACTTTCTTTTAAAGATTTTTATTTATTTATTTGAGAGAGAGAGAGTGAGAGAGAAAGAGAACATGAGCTGGGGTGAGGAGCAGAGGGAGAGGCAGACTCCCCGCTGAGCAGGGAGCCTGATGTGGAACTCGATCCCAGGACCCTGGGATCATGACCTGAGCTGAAGGCAGACCCTTCACTGACTGAGCCACCCAGGCGTCCTGAAATTTGTAATTTTTTGATGCATCAGTTTTCTCACTATATAAAACAGAGGTGTCCTTATTTCATCTCTGGAAGAATTAAAGTGTAATTAGACTTACTTCACTTGGAAGACATAAAGACTGAAGACGATTCAGTACTTTTCCAACGTGAATATACATTAAATGCTATTATCTGAATGCCTCATATTAAATATTTTCTCTTCTGTAACATCGCGCTAATCATGCTAAGCATTGTCTTCAGCAGACTTTTGGTTTGGGGAAATATGGGTTAAGACAGATATCACAGGAGGTACGTAGAAAACCCAGCATTCATAAAAATTAAAACCAGGAGTTAGGGGTGCCTGGGTGGCTCAGTCAGTTAAGTGTCTGCCTTCAGCTCAGGTCATGATCTCTGGGTCCTAGCATCGAGTCCCACATCGGGCTCCCTGCTCAGCAAGGAGCCTGCTTCTCCCTCTGCCTCTCCTCCTGCTTGTGTTCTCTCTCTCTCTCTGACAAATAAATAAATAAAATCTTAAAAAAAAAAACTATTAAAACCAGGAGTTACCTAAAGGATCAAGTTCATCACAAATAGGATCAAGTGTGCTTTTAGCTGTGGGTAATAAGCATATACATATGTAGAAGATGGCATTTTTCTAGTCACATTCTACCCTCCTCATACACAATTTAATTACTTGATTATAATTCCCAGAAACTTTGGTTGTGGATGACTGATAATGACCAGTTTTGACTTGGTACAAGGTCTAAACACAGCTAAGCAAAAAAACTTACACTTGGGTCTTTGACTGAAGCTCATCATGCCTTAGACTATTGAAAACAATTTCTTTCATTCTAGCCTCTTAGAAAAACCCAAGCATTTGGTCATCAAAAGTTATGTGCTTCCGGTCCTCGCAAGGAGTCTATTATAAAAAGGGCATCTAGCAGCTAAAACTCCCTGCTGCAGTGGTTGGGGACTCTCCCTGGGACTCTTCCAGCTGATTCTCTACTTGAGTAAATCTGCAGTGTGGGTGGAAGGATGGAAGTTGGGCCCTGGGGGTCTCTGAACCTCCCGCTTAAGGATTCCTTCAGAGATTCTGGAGTAGCAACCACTGATGGAGTGGTTTACATGAAGCTCATGACGTGGCCGTTGGCGCCCCTTGCAGATGAGAAGTCATGGAACTTTATGGTAGGAAGGGACCTGTGAGATCATGTGGTCTGATCTCTTCGTTTCATGTTGTGACGCCAAGGGGGACTGGCTGGGGAGCACGCTGCTGGTCAGTGGCGGGAGCTCCCTTAGATGGCCACTCATTGCCCACTAAAACTTGTTAAAAACAGAATAAAATTTTTAAAAGATTTTATTTATTTATTTGACACAGAGAGAGAGAGAGCGCATGAGAGAGCACAAGCAGGGGGAGCGGCAGGCAGAGGGAGAAGCAGACTCCCTGCCCAGCAGGGAGCCTGATGCGGGGCTCGATCCCAGGACCTGAGGCAAAGGCGGATGCTTAACTGACTGAGCCACCCAGGCACCCCCCAAATAGAATAAATTTAAGTTTGATTTTAAGACACACTTGAAGAAGAGGGAGTCTCCCGTGAGACTTTTGAGAGTGACTTTTTTTTTTTTTTTTTTTACTTTTTTTGTTTAAGGAACATCATTCAGACTTTGTTAAGTCATTCGGCTAGATTCCGCCGTGTCTTCTGGGACGGGCTGTTATCCTTTGCATCGTGTAATGGTTTGTCATTCAGGCAGGCTCAGCAAAGCACTTAGGGGATTAGAGCTGTGGAGCTGGAATGAATAACGAGGCAAGGTGCCCGTGCCTGCGCCTGGCGCCCCGGCCCCCAGCAGTGACACCGCAGCAGAAGGCCATCAGTCAGCAGCCGCGGATGGGCTCCGACAGGCTGCGGGAGATTTAGGGGCCTGGCTTGTCCAAAACGAGACAGACACAGAGAGCGTCCGAGACAAGGTTAAAAAAAGAACAGGAGGAGCAATAAAGCAGGTTCGGGAATATTATTAGTATACAGAATATATTTTTTATCCTTAAATGCACTTCACAACATTTGTGACTTCAAGAGTCGAGGGAATAAAATCTCCATTTTCCCCCCTTTATCTTACAAGTGATTTTGAATTTGCTGGGATTTTGGCACTGCCTTTTAGCCTGACAATATTGGGGGTGGAGGAAGTATTTTCTGGATCCACGATCAGCAGGTGATGGAGGAATATTCGATGAAGATGAGCACAAGGACTCTCTGTGAGCTAGGGTGGGGTTGGACACTTTGTCAGGGAGATGGCGTCTTTTGGCTTTGTGACAATCTCCTGTACTTGGTAGTGCTTATTAGCCCAATGACACCTAAATATCTGCTTGTGTGACTGTTTATTCTATGTCCGGCTAGCCTTCCGTATGCTGCTGAGGGCTGGGCTGTGTCTCTCTTGTTCTCTACACTCCAGCTCCTCTCCTAGGGTCTCCCCGACGTGAGGTGCGGAGGTATTGACTGAGTGAGGGGGTGCGTGAGGGAAGGCAGGACTGCCTGCTGGATTTAAGGAAAAACGCGGGTGGGAGGGTAGAGATCCAGCACAGGCTGTGAGGCAGAATCCCTGGGGTCAGCCACTGGTTCTCCCACTTCCAGCTGCAGGATTTGGGGCAACTCATGCAACCTGTCTGTGCCTTGGTTTTCCTCATCTGTAAAATGGGAACTGTGGTTTCAGTCTCACAGGGTTGTGGAGATTCAACCAGTCAATCCAGGTAAAGGTAAATCCAGGTAATCCCGGTAAATCGCCGTCGAGATGCTCAAGGCGGGCAGGAATAAACGCGGACTCCGAGGATTATTTACCCATCGTATAGCTGAGGACAGATGGCTTACGCCGTTTGTGTCTCTTTCCTTGCAGCTTCTGGACTGCTTTGGGATCCCTGTGTTGATGGCGCTCTCGTGGTTTATTCTTTATGCAAGATACAGAGTGATCCACTTCGTCGCTGTGGCTGTATGTCTGCTGGGCGTGGGAACGATGGTCGGTGCAGACATCCTGGCAGGGAGGGAAGACAATTCAGGTGAGGCCGTGGTCCTTCTTCTGCTTCGCTCACAGAAAAAAAGTGTTGCTTATGTTTTCGCTTCTGTATTGCAAAGCTCTGTAGGAAAAGACAGAAAGCATGTCTTGGCTAAACTGTCTTTTACGTTTTATTTTCAGATTTACTTCCTTCTGCTATTGGGACCCCTTCCGCCAAGCGTGCTTTGTGTCCCTGCCCGCCCACGGCCCTTGCTTCTTTTTGTCACACTAAATAGTTTTGTCTCATGAGAGAGAAGTTTCTTTAAATATTTGCAATAATCCTCTTTTGGCCCATCCATTCGGATTAGTTACTGGGAAAACTTGTAGATTCTTGGCTTTTTATCAGAAGGAAACTTCATGTCCACTGCGTGACCGACCTCTTTTTCAGTCGCTGTCTGGATGAGAACACTTGGACATTCTTTGGTCCAAAGTTCAGACAATGGATGCTATAAAATCTAAGTATGGCCTCGGAATTTGCCCAGTCTACAGGTGACTTCATTGTGTCCTTGGATTGAGGGAAGATGAACTTGACTACCTAGCTTCTTTCCCTGTAGTTTTTAGTTAATTCCCTTCCATGAATTCTGTTAATTTCTTTGTCATAGAATCATTTCCTAAGACCCTATGTTATCCATCTTCCAGTTGCGTCATCTCCCGAGGGGTCAAAATATGAAAAATCACAGTAGAATTGTGCCAGAAAGTGAGAGGAGTAAGAGTCCTTAAACTTCTAGAAACCAGGGTTTCTCCTTCTGTAAACTCTTATTTAAATGAATGTGAACCAGATACACTCCTGGAAGCAAGCTAGAAAGCGTCCCCTGTCTTAACACTGTGTACCTCTTTGTGTCTTGTCTTCCTACAGGGAGTGACGTCCTGATTGGTGACATCTTGGTCCTTCTTGGGGCTTCCCTCTATGCTGTTTCTAACGTGTGTGAAGAATACATTGTGAAGAAGCTGAGCAGACAGGAGTTTTTAGGGATGGTGGGCTTATTTGGAACAATTATCAGCGGCATACAGCTGTAAGAGTCTAAAATCTCCCTTAAACAAAATAAGCACATATATGATACATGATTACTTTCCAGCTACTAATATTCATTGTTGATTTGGCCCAGATTCCCATTTGAAATCAGTGACTTGCTAACTATTAGAAGATTCTTGAAATATCAAGAATTATGCCTCATTTTCTTATATGTACGTGATGCTTATGATTTCTGCTTACAACATGGTAGAGGCATTACCATACAGACTTTATTTTTCACTTATTTCCAGAAAATATGAACTCCCTATTCAAATGGAAAACATAATGTCATGTTGGCTACTACTTGAAAAGTGCCTTGAAGAGCGTCAAGCATATTTATGGGCTCCTTTGGGTTTCATTTGTTGTCATTTATATTAAAGATACTTATTTTTATACCCTAAGAAAAATTTAAGAAGCAATGTAATTCCTCATCTTAGCTGAAATATAGCAACTAAAATGCTTATAAACTAGTGAAAATGAGTATGTGGATCTCTCTCTGACCTCTTGTTTTAATCTTAGATTGATTGTGGAATATAAGGATATTGCCAGCATCCAGTGGGACTGGAAGATTGGTATGTACATAAAATGGTCATCCGTTTTTGGGCAGTATCCTTTCCTCTAAGTGAGAAAAACACACGTCGAGAAATAAATACTTCATATAAGTAGTATGTAAGCATTTTTGTAAAATCACAGAGTAATTTGGTACCCCGAGAGCTCCAGGGTTTACATTGAGTTTTCCCTGAGAACTCGTAAATGAACCTTCACAGGAGTTAATTCTTAATCTTTACCTTCAGGAATAGCTTTTCTTTACTAGGAATTCTGTGACCTTCGGTCACACTCCCTTTCAACTAGATCTGTATCACGAGTCCTCAAACCTAATGTGAAGGTTGTCTGCTTGATGTAATTTGTGAAACATTAACCTGAACATTCTGAGGGTGTATAATCACCCACCAACTTCCATTACGACTCTCACCTGATATTCTTGGGCATCTGCACAAATAAATAATGTAGAAAACAGTGGTGGAACAGTTAAGAAAGACTCCTTCAACCTTACTTAATGATGGATGGAAAGAAGTTAAAAATAGCCTATAAAATGTCTTGGAAGTTCATATGCTGTGCTTGGATAATTTAATTCAATTAAATAACTTGGATTGCCAGAGTGTGAGTGAGTGTGCCTGAATGTGAGTGGGTATGAGTGGGTGTACGTTGAGTATGGAGGTGGGGTTGAGGGAATGGTTGCAAAACTAAATGGTGAGCACCCACATGACCAGCTCTGTCCCGAAGAGGATGGTTATACTGTGCTTTCTGAGAGCGCTGAATTTAATGAGATGAGCACAAGATAATGGACCAAACAGCTACCTGCCTTTGATGACTAAAAATACTGTATTCTGAATCCAGTGACACAAATCATGTCCAACCAATGAACCAGATAAAAGCAAACAAAAGATGATGGGTGATTTTTCTTCACAGTGATTCTGCTTTTATGGACCTTTTATCACAGCATCACGTTCTCTGGGGTGGGCAGATGAGGCAGGTGGCGAGAGCTGTTGAACCAGTCACACCATGAGCAAGTCCCTATGGCCTTCACCATCTAACACCCTGTTGCAATTTTGAAGTCCTTACTCTGTGTCGTATCTTGTTGTTGTTATTATTATTATTTTTTTTTCCTGTGAGCTTTCGGTGTCTCATTTGCAATGCTGAGCATTTGCAAGTGGCTCTGTAGAGAGTGTGTGAAAGGATCAGGGAATTGTATATGGCAGCCAAGCCTTAAAAGCATCTTTGCCTTCTGATTTCTTCCTGTGATGTTAGATATTCCACTTTGCTTTTTCTGTAGCCCTGCTGTTTGTGGCGTTTGCCCTCTGCATGTTTTGCCTGTACAGCTTCATGCCACTTGTGATTAAAGTCACCAGTGCCACCTCTGTGAACTTGGGCATCCTGACAGCTGACCTCTACAGTCTTTTCTTTGGACTCTTTCTGTTTGGCTATAAGGTAAGCAAATAGATCATGTTCAAAGAGGAACACTTGCTTGGTCTAAAAGAAGTCATGGGTGTCTTTACTAGTTTAGATCCAAAAATAAAACGTCATCGTTTTTTGGCAAGAATCTCATTGGACGGTCTGCACTCCAGGCAAAAATAGCATCACGTTCGTATTATAATAAGAATTTTGATGCTCCAGACTTCTGTAAGGGTCTTGGGGACCCTCAAGGTCTTGGGAGCACCCTTTGAGAAGTGCTGCATTGGAAGTCCATCTTTCTTTAGTATACCTTCGGTAAATGCTTGTTGACGAGTTTGTTATCCCAGTTACTTGAACAAATAGCGAGAATGTTGGCTGTTGCTTGATAATTTTAGTTTCATTTGGGGACAGCAACTACATTTCTTTGTCTTTGTAAAATTTTGTATCCAGGCAGAAATTGCTTGGCACTGATTTACACTGTTCCCAGGAATTGGCCATGAATGCACAATGCCTCATTCAGTGGGGTCTCAGAAATTTCTGCTTAAGAAGCATGAACCATTTTGCCTTGCTGTGTTACATATGAAAGGAACTGGGTGTTATCTTTACAAACTTGCTGGTTAAGCTATTCCTGAACTTAGACCGAAGGAGTATTTATAGCTTTTTGGTTGCATCATTAAAAAGTAACAAATGTCAGAGTGAATCAGAGAAGTGATCTGACACGCCTAGATTGATTTATTGATTTATTGATTGATTGATTTATTGATTTATTTATTTATTTATTATTTTTAATGAGAACAGTTGCCAAGGGCTACAAAGTGAGCCTTACAAGTGAGTTGTGGTGCTGTGCTTGCATTTCACATGGCCGCTACTAGGGGGTGATGGTGTTTCCATTCTGTAGTTAAGCTTAGTGGTTACAGGTTATCTGTGTTAACATACGACCCCACTCACCTGTGCGTTTTTCTTTTTAAACCAGGTACATTGATTTAGCTTTAGTAGTTTAACTTCTAAGTAAAATAGTATCCAAGTGGGAAGGAGGAAGTAAGGTTAAAGAAAGAAAAGCTTTAAAAATACACCTGCTGCTACCTATTATAAGCTCCCTTCATGTAGATATTTGCCTGTTAACTGCTCTTCACTTTAACATGAAAAAGCCTTTTGTATGTCATTTTTTTGACCACATAACTTTAAACTGCTATTCTCCAAATTAGAGCATGTGAACGTTAAATTCCTTCTCCGTTCTTTTACTTTATGTTTCTTTGTCCCTGCACGTCTAGTGGCTCACTCTTAACCCAGATCAGATTTGATTGTTTTTGTTCAAAGGCTGTTTCAAGACTTGTAGAGCAAAGAGTGGGTCTGCTGTGATCTTCAGAGTAAATTACAGAGGTGGAAAACCATTCAGAGCTTAAAGAAGATACCTAGCATTTTATTTTATTTTTTTAATTTTTAAAAAAGATTTTATTTATTCATGAGAGAGAGAGAGGGAGGCAGAGGGAGAAGCAGGCTCCCTAAGCAGCAGGGAGCCCGACGTGGGACTCGATCCCAGGACCCTGGGAACATGACCTGAACTGAAGGCAGACACTTAACTGACTGAGCCACCCAGGCACCCAATACCTAGCATTTTAGAAGCAGTTTTTCAAGACAAAATTATAAGCCCAATATACCACCAATTCTTAAAATTGTAGTTTCTAAAATAACTTTGGTTCTGCGTTTTAAAATCGACAGTTGAAAGAATTTTAAAAATTTCTGCACTCCTCATTGTCAGACTCTGCCTCCACTGGAATTGATCTTGAGTAAATACTTACTGACCAGAGTAGCCGCAAGAAACTTCCAGTGTAGATCCAGACACAAAGGGCAGAATTAAAAAAAAAAAAAAAAAAAAGAAGAAAGGTAAAAGTAAGAGCCTCTAATTCAGAAGACTTACCTCATTCCATCAGAGTCTCTCCCTTCTAAGAGAGTGACTCCATTTGATCACCTGCTTTTTAAGAGGAACAAGACACTTTTTCTTCTATACACTTAAAAACGAGAAGACTCACAGAAGCTCACAGCTGGAGATGACCAGCACTGTACATAATACTCATTTCAAAACCTGTTTAGTTCCTCCTTCTACTTTAGGGAGCGTATCTGGTTTTTTCTTCTCTCTCTCTCACATCTCCTTTCTCAACCTGTTGTGTTTTCTTATTGTTTTTCTTTGTCATCTTCTTATTAGAACTCTTTTTAGGCATTAGAACTCTTTGGGGGCATACTATGAAATCTAAGTGAATTTAAAAATATTTATTGGCTTGAACAAAATATGCTCCGTTCTTTTTTTTTTAAAGATTTTATCAGAGAGAGAGAGAGCACGAGTGGTGGGAAGGGCAGAGGGAGACGGAGAGGGACACTCCCTGCTGAGTGGGGAGCCCTACGCAGGGCTTGATCTCCTAACCCCGAGATCATGACCTGAGCAGACGTCAGACGCTTAACCGACTGAGCCACCAAGTGCCCCAGCATTCTCTGTTCTTAACTTTAAAATCAGGTTAGCAGGACTGTTCATAAATTTGAGTTTGCTTGTTCCATGAAAAAAAAAAATGATCCTAGGCATTTAATTACACATTCATTATGCTACATAGTTTCCTTAAAATTTACCACATCATTCTTGGTCAGTCTTCAGCTCTTCTCTTTCTGTGTTTTATCTTTCATGCTGTTAAAAACAAATCTTAATTTCCTTAATACCTGACCTTTTGTATGGATCCTTGATTCAAATAAGAGCAAATATACAGAATGCATCATATTATTTATTTAAACTTTGGGGGTGTGTCGGAATGCTGTTTTCAGTAATAATACACAATGAATTAGTGTCTTGTCTTTACTGCAGTTTGCTTTGGGTGGTTGTTTTCCTAAAAAAGGGGGTGGGTTGGAGAAGGTCACCAGGAACTGCATGCATCCTTGTGGTGTGTCTGTCAGAATGGGCTCTTGCTACAGTCAGTCCTTCTGGGAGCCGAGAGGGTGGGAGATTCCTCCTGCAGAGCTCCATGCCCTGTGCCTGTCCGACTGCTCTTTACACCACTAACCTGTTCGGGTTTGAGACTTTTCCGAAAAAATGACGTCTTTTGAGCTCTAAAGACCTTATCTGCTAAGCCCACCATAAATCTGATTGTGTAACCCTCGTCTCCTGAAAGAAGATAATTTATTAAATTTTAACAAACTGGATTTCATTGCATTAGCATACACGGAGGGTTGTGGAGAATGTGTCATATCTGTACATCCACATTTTACCTTAGGTCCAGTGTTTCTCTGTTTCATAGCAATATTATAAACGGTGCTTAGGGTCTGAAATTGGCTCTCTCATGGATGGTATCCATGCTGACCTTTGATTCTCCCCACAAAGTGGGGCTGGCTGCACGGTGGAAGTCCAGCTGGGCGTATCACAGAGAAAGGCAGAAGTTCCATTTCCTAGAGATCCAAGGATCCTGTTGGCTGATGTGGCAGGTGTTGCCTGAGCCTGTGCGTTCACGGTACACGCACCGGCAGGTTTGGGGGCATTGGCATCTCTTTGGAAGCTTCCAGAAACAGAGATTACGAGAAGCTAGCTAACCCTCAAAGTGTGGCGGGCAAGGGGGTAGCAGTCAACATGTGTTTGCCAGAGACCACAACCCATCACCTGTTCTCCTCCTAGTTCTCCGGGCTCTACATCCTGTCCTTCTCTGTCATCATGGTGGGCTTCATTCTGTACTGCTCTACCCCGACGCGCACGGCGGAGCCCACAGAAAGCAGCGTGCTGCCCGTCACCGGCATCGGGATTGACAACCTAGGGCTGAAGCTGGAGGAGAACCTGCAGGAGACCCACTCAGCCGCCTTGTAGCTACAGAGGAAGGCGCCTGTGCTTGTGCACCCGAGGCTTCCCCGGAAACCGGGAGGCGCCCCTGGAGGCAGCAGACCCTGCTGACGGCAGAGGGGACTCGGAAAATTATTAGGGGAGCGAGCACTGCAACTTTGGATTGGATCCCAGTGGTTAGATTTTGCAAAGGAATAGAAAATAGTGTATCGAAAGTAGAAATACGAAAACAGAGCAGAAGGCAAGGTGGCTGGGATCATGTCTCTGTGGGTTTGAGGACCAATACCTGTTCGGGTCAGGGAGACAAGGTGTGCCCCACACTGGGGTCTCAGAGACACCCGTGGGAAAGCGTGGTGGGGCCGATAGCCAGGCATGATCCAGCCTCAGGGCAGGGCCTGCGAGCAGGCTGTCCAGGCTGGGCTGGGCAGTCAGGAGTGGGGGCAGCCCAGGGTGGTTTGGGAGCTGCTTTCCATAGTTGGAGGCCTCTGGGTTTTGTCTTGCCGAGGTAGTCATTGTCCACAAGCCCTGTGGTCTTCACGCCACAGTGAGGTCTGGTGACTGATTGCATATGGCAGCAGCATGGGTGGGGTAGCCCTTGAGAAATCCTGAGATACCAGTGTGGGTACCCTTGAGGCAGGAAAGAGGGGTGGTGCAGTGAACCTGGGGACCCTGTCTCTGTTCTTCAAAGAGGATACTACACTACTTCTCACCAAGTATTTGTAATGTGCCGTGAAATTTTTATGATACTTCTTCAATACAAAGTGCGACTGTGTAGCATCATTATGATATTAACTATCACTCTGCCACTTTACAAAAACTGTAAACGGTATGTAAACTTTTCTTTAATGTAATAAAGAAATCGAGGGGAAGTGTTCATGTTATTAAAAGGTTTTGATTTCATGGGAATACATTCGTTGTGTGGTTTCTTTGATTAACCTTTTCCCCTTCTGGATTTTTAAATGACTGAATATATTCAAGATTTCTTCATATCCAACTTTTCAGAACCATGTCTTCTGTAAGGTAAGGCAGACCTACCTGGGGTTATGTTGGGATGGAGGGGAATTCACAGCGAGCCCACAGGTCATTTGCCGGAAGAAATTTTTTAAAATTCTGAATTACCTTAATTTTTTTCTTTTTTCTTTTCTTCTTTTTTTAAGTTTTTTGAGTGAGATAATTTTTTATTCTCTGCAGCCAATTAAAACTGATACTTGATTTTCGCTGTGTACCATTCACAGCTGCCAGTGAGTAGAAAAAAGGTTAGGTTACCGTGTTTGGCCTTTGGGGGAAGACTTTCATTTTGATTAACATGTTATTTCTTAAAATATCCTGCTTAAGAACAAACCTGTATACACAGGGTGAAGTGGAGAGCCTCAGGTGACAGCATCCCACATGTCTGTCAAGTCTCAGCTCAACCGTCATCTCTTTCTCTGAAGGCTTTCTCAGGTTATCCAGGCCAGGCCCCCTCTCCTCTAGGTTCCCAGGACCCTTGTTCATATCTTCTTTGTTGCACTTATTGGGTGCTTGCTGTTTGTCTGCCGTTCTTCACCACCGGTTGAGCTCTTCAAGGTCAACTGTGGTCTCTATTCATCTTTCTAGACCTTTTGTCATCTCTCTTTTTGGGCATTTATTTATTTTTTAAAAGATTTTGTTTATTTGAGAGAGAGAGAGAGAGAGAGAGAGCAAGCACGAGCAGTGGGGAGGGGCAGAGGGAAAGGGAGAAGCAGACTCCCCTGTTGAACAGGGAGCTCGATGCGGGGCTCAACCCCAGGACCCCGAGATCATGACCTGAGCTAAAGGCAGACTGAACTACCCAGACGCTGCCTTGGGCATTTATTAAATGAATTTTGTCTTTGGCCCCAGTTCAGAACATTTAAGGGGAGATTGACCTAAAGCAAGGTGTTTCATGCAGATACATGTGGGCAGTATTATCTTACCCTGCTTGGCTCTTTCCACCCTTCCCCCAGACCTGGTGTTTTTTCTACTCACCTGCTCCCTCTGGAGAGGGGCAAAGGAGGTCAAACCTGAGCATCCTAAATTAAAACTTAGAATTCAGTGTTCTAGAGAAGCAGTGCTGTGAGTGACATTCAGCAATTAAATAATAGTACTGCAAAACTGCATCCTGGTTTATACAACTTTGTAAAGACGGAGAGTTTCACCAGTCTCTATAATACCACTTCCATGAAAAATGTATTTTCAAACGTCTGGCTCACATACAAGCTTTTGAAACATAACACATTCTCAAGTTGTGAGAATTCTTTTCTCACCTCCCGTAAATTCTTTTCCAGCCTATTAGAACAATATTGATTTTTCAATATTTTCTTGTAGATATTCATGCCATTAAAAAAAAACTGAATAGTATAATAGGGCTGCTGGATTGTTCCCTCGTGTTGTATAGAGGTAATAAATTGTGCATTTGGACTGCGGTTATGCAGAAGAAGAGAGGGCTTTGCGGGGGTCATTCTCACTGTTTGCACTTTGAAACTAAGTTCTCTTGTGGACCGTGAACATTTCTCACTTTTCTGGGACTCAGGGAATTTGTATGTGTCATCCATGGTGTTTCCAGCAGGTGCTGCTTTAACAGGTGTAACAAACAACTTTGACCTAAACCGTCATCTTTCATTTTACAGCTTCTCCATAATGTCCTTTTTAAAAGATTTTATGCATTCATTTGAGAGAGAGAGAGAGCGTGAGCGGGGAGGAGGGGCAGAGGGAGAGGGGGAAGCAGGCTCCCTGCTGAGCAGGGAGCCCCACACGAGGCTCGATCCCAGGACCCCAATGTCATGACCTGAGCTGAAGGCAGACGCTTAACCAACTGAGCCACCCAGGCGCCCCTATAAGGTGTTATGATGACTGCCCTCAGCAGGGATTGTCTTTGATGAACCGCTGAAGGATGGAGCTCTCAGGAAAGTTTGGTGCCTGTGGTGAAAACGGAAGCCAGGATTCCTTGCTGCGTCGCTAGCAGTCCCTGCGGCTCTTGAAACACATTTCTGGGGGGCTGGGCTTCCCGAGTGCTGAGCCAGCACATGCATCTTGGGAGAGGAGGTGGGAAGATTCTCATGTAAAACCCAGCTTGTTAGTGCAGTTTTCCTCGCAGCCCTGGAGCCTGCCCTTTGAAACAGCTGTCTGCATCTGTGTCTGAGGTCTTCTGTATGCCTAGCCACGATTCTCTCCTCCATCATTATTATGGTGATGTGCCATTTTCATCCACATTTAATCACTTAGGATCTGGACATATCCTCAGCCCTCAGAAGATATCCATAAATCAGGGAAATTCAGCAGATAGCCACTTAGCTGATTAAAAGGCAAGAGATTTATGAGGAAATTAGGTAATGCTGAACATGCAGTTTTCCAGTAGTCTTAGGGCGTTTTGAGCCGTCCGGCAATCTGGAGAGGTATCAAGGGGAGTAAAGACTCTTCAGAACAGCAAAATTTTACTTGAGGGTTTGTGTCCCAAAATGTCTTCTCCTAATGCTTTTGTCATGCACTTTATTCCTTGGTTTCAATATTGCCTTCTTAGAGCAATTGTTTTTTGTTTTTTTTTTTAAGATTTTATTTATTTGAGAGAGGCAGTGGGAAGCAGCAGAGGGAGAGGGACAAGCAGACTCCGCCCTGAGCACGCAGCCCAACACAGGGCTCCATCCAAAGACCCCAAGATCACAACCCAAGCTGAAATCAAGAGTCAGACGCTCAACCAACTGAGCCACCCAGGCACTCCTCGAGCAGTCTTAAAGTGCAGATACTTTTGGAGGAGGAGGAAATTTAGGTTGGAAGGGAAAGAGAAGTGATACCAAGAAAAAATGTAGAAGTCATATGAACAATTGTTGGCTCCAACTGACCATAACAAGTATTCAGATGGTGCCAAATGATCATCCCACGATCACCTGTTACTAGCCATCGCTTGCCCAGTGGGGAGGCTGTTATGATGGCGGGGACTCACAGTGCGAGAAGCTGGAGTTTCCATGCGGAGTTCCACCTTCCTTGACCACAGATGTTACTTTCGTCCTGCTAGGTGACTGTGCTTTTCCACTTTTGCCCGAGTATTTCCCATTTTTTCGTTCCTTCAGATTTCTTTTCTGACTTTGGTCTTGTGAGCCCATATGAGACCTCATCCATCTTGATCTTTGTGAAAAGGCTGCTAGTTCAGTGCATGTACTACCTTTACATATGGGGACACAGATACACCACTGTCACCAGTAACACCAACCCCATCCCCACCCTGCCCTCCAATATCTTATTTCTCCAGAAATTGCTTTGTCGATAAGATTGATTGCAGTTGCTTCGGGGAATCTGCCCCCACCCTTGACACGCACCTAGAGGCGTTCCTGTAGAGCTTCACTTCCCTAGTCCATCTGTTGGTTGAGAGTAAATGGTACCTTTACTTGCCCACAGCTGGTATACGACATTTATGTGGTCTCTACTGTCCATTTGGAGGATTAGACGGGAGGGGGAGAGCCAAGGCCTGATTCCTGATCTGCTCACTGAAGTGTGAGCCATGCCAGAGCCGGGCGTTGTGGCTCAGTTGAGAGCCACATCTGGCTACAGAGAGGAGTGTACTTCCCTGAGGACTCTTGGGTCATGATACATGAACATGGTTCATGCCCCTGTCTCATTGTGGGGAGCAGAGCAGGAAGACTCTAGGTCAGGCCAGGAGACTCTGTCTGGGAGACTTATTTGTAGAGAACAGGGCACTTTCTAAATCCCTGGGGTTTAGTGACTGCATGCTGATCTCCTAGGAAGAAGGCTGGCTAGGTTATAGGAGGATACTCACATAGATCCCCAAGATATCAAAGCATGGGACAAGAAGAAACTAAGAAAGGTCAGAGTCCTGGGCCCCTGGTACTATGGATGGCACCACAGGGCTTTCAAAAATTGGTTTGTAGAATCAATATCTAATGTAAGAAAATGGGGATTCTATGAAAATACTGAATTTGAGGTCTACCTTCTTCCTTATATTGCTAATTTACCTAATTACCAACCCATGTGAATATTTTACCCTTCTAATGAAAGTGTAAGATCTATATGGACAGATCTTGCCCTACTTTG